TAAGCAGGGCTGCAGACAATCTGCCATCTTATGATCACAAATTAAGAAAAGCTATTATTATGAATTACTATTAAGGCTTTTAGTACTTTGTCATGTTGTGACTATGGACATTCTCAGGTGTCCAAGAAAATTTTTTCTATTAGGAGTCCCTACATTATTCAAAATTGGAAAGCATTACTTTTTTTTTTTTATAATTTTTATTTATTTTTTCCCCCAAAGCCCCAGTAGATAGTTGTATGTCATAGCTGCACATCTTTCTAGTTGCTGTATGTGGGACACGGCCTCAGCATGGCCGGAGAAGCAGTGTGTCGGTGCGCGCCTGGGATCCGAACCCGGGCCGCCAGCAGCGGAGCGTGCACACTTAACCACTAAGCCACGGGGCCGGCCCAGCATTACTTTTTCTATAGCAGTATCTTTCATTATTAGCTAGAACCCGACTAAACAAACTTTTCCCCCATCTCTTTATTAAGGAAATAGACTTGATAAGGAGTCTTCCCTAAAGCAACATTTGGGAATATGCTGGGCTGAACACACATTTAATGCAATCACTTCCATTTTCTATATTTACATCTTCAGACATCAAATGACAATGTGTGTACAAAATAACAGTGGATTTCCCATGAGAAATTCCCATGAGATTTCCAAAGATTCAAATAGGCTCTACTTTCCCGGGCAAGGAATGGAACAGTGTATTTATGAATCAGTGTATTCATAAATACACTGTATGTATACACTGTATGAAACAGTGTATCATCTAAGCATTCTAGTTATTTTATTTGGGCCAGGTGGCTCCTGGATGACCAATGGAGGAAATTGCCCAGGACCTGGAGGTGACCGGAAGCAGAGGACTAAAAAGGCAGAATCAGGACAAGGCCGAGTCCTGAGTCCCGCCTTCACTAGCTAGGACCGCGGGAAAAGCGCAAGTGTCTGAGCTTCAACTTCATCCACATAACAGGGCGGATGATGCCTACACCACAGGACTGGTTCAGATAAGGACCGCACTACAAAACTAACGTGCCGTGTAAACACCGGAGCACCACACAAATGAGACCCCACTCAATAGCCTGCTTCAGTCAGAGGGTCTGCTCACTCTTGCGTGCACACGCGTCTCGGCACCGATCTCCTTGTTCTTGTCTTTCTCACTCCAGCTCATGATGGCTCCTGCTTCGTCCTCGGTGTCCTTCCACGATTCTTTCCACAACACTAGGACACGTTTCCCAGCTGGCCAGGTACTGACTGTGAATAAACCATCCTCCTGCCTTAGGGCTTGAGGAACAGGTTGCACATCACACAGACAACTTATAGAATAGACTTGAAATCAGTTAAAAAATTGATTACGGTGGGGGGGAGAAATGAATAGGTGGAGCACAGGTTTTTAGGGCAGTGTAACCACTCTGTATGATACTATAATGGTGGATACATGTCACTATACATATATTGTCCAAAACCACAGAATGTACAAGAGTGAACCCTCATGTAAGTTACGGACTTTGGGTGATAATGACCTGTTAATGTAGGTTCATCAAATGTAACAAATGTACTCTCTCGTGGGGGATGCTGATGGTAGCAGAGGCTATGCATGTGTGGGGACAGGAGGTATATGGGAAATCTCTGTACCTTCTGATCAAGTTTGCCCTGAACCCAAAACTGCTCTAAAAAAGTCTATTGAAAAAATTGATTATATGCACACAAACAAGTCTGCTATTGAGATGGGCTCTGACAAATGTGAAAATTTAAGAAATCTAGCTCTTTATTTTAACATCAAAGCTAACATCAAGTGTTTGTTTAAAAAAATAACGGCTCCTGCTTTGAATGGGGTGAAGACCTACAAAGAATTTACAATTTTAGGCTGACATGAAACTACACAGTATCCCACAAAATGGAAATTCTGCAACGGACCTCACAATAAACATTTCCAGTTTCTACTTGCAGAGCTGCTAACCACTGCCTAAACCGATCTTAAACTGAGAGCACATTTTGTTGAAACATTTCTTAGGACAAACACAGCAGACAAGCTTGAAATAAATTAAAACTGCAATACACAAATCATTCCTAAAACAATCCAGTACATTACTTTCCAGCTTCTTATAAACAGAGAATTGTACTGACTTTAGAAAATTATAGGTTAGTTCTGCTTTATATCTTAGGGTTACCAAACTCTTTTTTTTTTTTTTTTTGCCTGAGGAAGATTCGCCCAGGGCTAACATCTGCTGCCAATCTTCCTCTTTTTTTTGTACGTGAGCGATCACCACAGCACGGCCACTGACAGACGAGTGGTATGTGTCCGCATCCGGGAATCGGGCCCGGGCTGCAGAAGTGGAGTGTGCCGAACTTAACCACTAGGCCACCGGGGCTGGCCCCTGCCAAACTCTTATTAATTGTACCTTTTTTTTTTTTGGCTTCTTAACTACTTCTGATGTGAACAAGCCAATATCATTCTTTTCAGTGATTTATCCTTTTAGACTGACTCCTTCCTTAGCACACGTGCAACACTTCTTGAAATAACTCTTTCCAGATAAAGCCTCGAATTTTAAATAATGCCATTTTGTCCCACCCCCCGTTCCTCAAAATTATAGAAATATGCAAATAGATTGTTTAATCACACATTCATATCAATAAGTATATTTAAGTGTTTTTCCAAGCCAATACAACTAGACTTGGATTCAATACAAAAACATTCCCATTTGATGCAAAATAATTTGGTATTTAAAATCCAAACAAAAAAGACAAAAGTAAAGTTGCCCAAGGGAAGCTGCTTCCCGTCGCTATTATTGAACCCATAATTAAATTATTGAACCCATAATTAAACCTGATGTGCTAGAGAAATGACAAGGCAATAAACATACATAGTGGGACAATATGTAAATGAAAACAAGAGTGACAAAGCAGAAAGGCTAAAATCACATGGATGCCCATTGACAGACAGGGATAATAACATTATGGGCTGAACTGAAAAGGGGAGGAGTTTCAGAAGATTTCAGTCCATCAATAGATTACGGCAACTACATAAGCAAAACCACCAAATGGGACAAGCTAGAAACTTGGGACTAATCCTGCTTTCATTGTCCAAAATCAGCAGTGGAGTACTTTTGTTTGCTGCTTCATTGCAGGTCTGAATTTTTTTCAGGGCGGGGGGATGATTTGTTCTGGCTTAATCATACTCAAAATATAAGCTGGACTAACCAATTCAAAACCCACAAGAGAGTATTTTTAGGTTTTTGTTTTGTGCTCAGCAAACTATCATTACCCCAGTGATCATGAAAATAATACATCACAAAAAAACCCAGTGCTAGAATCCAATGTCCAGCATCTTCCATCACTCAGTGTTCACTGAGAGCACAGGGGCTCACTCGTCCAACAGCTGGTTTTCATCCTTAGGTACGCACAAGTTGTTTACTACCAATAAAAGGTGGGGAAAAAGGATTAGTTGGCTTAAATGTAAATTAAATACCCAATTCCAGGATATGTCATAGCTAGATCACTATTTTTAATTGTATATTTATAAAATTCTATTTAATCACCTTACACAGTGACGAAAACAAGCAGCAGGGGGGTTTATTCCTTAAGAAGAGAATCAAAACTACAGAGAGTACAAGTCTCCTTGGACTATATCATCTTATTAAAAAGATTCATGAACTTTCAGCAAGACTCTAAAATAAATATGCCATGTAGGCTGAGCATATCCAAGTGAAAACAAGGTTATTTGACATCTAATGAGAATCACTGGAAATATGAATTCTTTAAAAAGAATTCATGATCAGGTGGGTTGATTCAGACTCTACAATATTTCTGAAGAGAGCGTTTCTAGCAGCTTCTGTTAACAGCTCCAGACTGGAGGGGGCGGAATGTGCTCCTTTCCATTTTCTTCTCCACTTCTCCCACTGGGGAGGAGACACACCGATCGCAGGTCTGGCAAGTGTGAAAGCAAACTTGCTAGGCTGAGTGAGGAGTGGAGTGTGGGACCTGAGAAGGAGGCCCAAGTCTTCTCGGATCCTCCTGGAGCCCTCGACATCAAGGGCTAGAAAGCTCCTTCTCTCTAAACTAACAGCAGCATCTACATCCACCTCAACCCTGGCACGTCCGAAGTGCCTCAGAAAGATTCAGAGAGATCAAGAGGAGCCTACCCAGGACTCAGCTTATTTTGGGGGTGTAAGATACACCCAGCCCTCAGCCCACACGGAGACTAATGCCCACAGAGAAAGGGGGATGCTGGCCACTGAAATACAGAAGCAAAAGGAAGCACACCATTCTTCTCCCTTCCTCCTCTGGGCCTGGGACCCTTTTCTGTCCCCTGGATTTGATGTATCACAGTGTATTCACAGGCAACTTGGGAGACCCAGGCAGTCCGACACGGCCATGAGATGGAGGTGGGACTAGTAAGTCCCTCTTCCCTGAACCCAAAATACTTTATAGCCAAAGATTTCACGAAATGATGTTTATTACTTTAAAAAGCTTGAGTTAGATATGGAATTGGATAGTTGCATGTTTATGAATTTACTAAAGCCACTGAATTGTAAACTTAAAAAAAAAAAAAGAAAGCTTGAGTTGTATGAGTCTCACACACACTGGACTTGTACCAAATGCTTGGCTGTTCTCTCCTCTCAAACCATGGCACACTGTCACATTTTTTCAGGAGATTTCCCTAACAGCAGCTGTTTGCAAAATATTGCACTTAATTCAAATCTGGGCAATCCGATGTTTTCTGGAAGAAAACATACACTAACATGTATCTTTACGCCTTCAGATGACAGGCGGGGGTGGGGTGGTGGGAGGAGGGGCTGAACAGCAGTTTCCATTAAAATCTTCGATGTTTCCTTTTTGTTATGTACAAGAGACAGAGATTTAAAGGGAAGTGTCATCTGGGCTGAAGACAGTGAATGGTATTCTCAAAAGAGGTCAAAGTTGCCAACTTTTGAATGCTCTCACCTCAGTGGAAGCGTGGCCACTCTATTACCTTAGAACTTATTTTCAGTAAGATCTTAAGAGCAGGTGGCACGCCTGGCTCAGACACTGGATCTAATTTATTTTATTCCTGCTGGTCTTCCAGGGTCCTAAGAGGACCCTCTCCATCTTCATCCAGGTGAGTTGCTCCACTGAGCTGGCTGCCACCCACTCAGACCACACGTCACCTCTTCTTCCTGCTTCCAGGGCCCCTACCTCAGTGCACGTTAGTTTAATAAACTAGGATTCTCTTCTCCTTCCTAGAGGAAAAAACCTGCAAGATGAGCATCATTTGTTTTCATCTACTGAGTAAGCTTTGCAATCCCTTGCAGACCTGTGAATAAAGTGAATCACAGAAAGTGAATCACATCCTCAAAGGGGGTTTATCACAACTGAGATTTGCTGAAACACAAACATCCAGAGTAGTGCTTGCAGGACCTCAAATCAACATTAAAACCACAGTTTGAGGAGGTATTTGGAAGCATTTCTGCATGCTTTGAAGGGGCAATTGCTGGCCTATTAAGATGAAATCAGGTGTGCGGCTCCCTGGGTGTAGGAAGGCAAAGCCCCATTCATAAATCCTTGCGTCTTACCATTGAAAGTGCAACAGAACACTTGGATGGATAAACAGGTGTGCTATAAGATTTCCATGTTACGAAGAGTCACACACAATTGAGCACTGTGGACACTGGGTACATATGGGACCTATGGTTGTCTCTGGACAAGTGGGATGGATTACTCGGGATTTCCTGTACTTCCATGGGCCACAAGTGTTCAACACAGCCAACGTCTGTGCTCTTTCCCTTCCCCAAGTCGTGCCACACACAGGACTCAGAGAAAATGCACCACTAGCAATAGTAAAGCTCAATTTTCATAGAGATTTAAGAGAGAGAGAGAGATTTAAAATCCCTTTTCTTCTGGGTTACTAATTGTGCCAAATGCTCAATGACCAGAAGTTTACCAAGCTAGGCTATCAGGTGGGCAGGAAATCTGGTCTGATTAAGGCAAAGAGCAACATGGGGAGAACTCTGAAACAGAGTCACGTTAACCAAGTACAGGGCTGAGCTGGCAACTGCTACCGAGTGAAGAGAATCACGGTTATTTACAACGCACAGCCCAGTCCTCTCGTAATGTTCAGTCGGCACAACCCTCCATTTTAAAATTTGGCAGTATGCACAGAGTTTTCTTTAAAATAAAAACTTAAAAGAACTTGAGGACAGGAACCAGTGGTCTTCATCTTGGTATTATTATCCTTTCTACGGCACACAGAATATGGTCCCAGTTTTTACAAAATATTGCAAGAAGTGTCACAGCAAAGAAGGTGCCCAGGATGTGGAAGCGGCTCTTCATCATGGGCGAGACGAACTTCGCGATGGTGGACACGCACACCAAGACGACAGTCATGAAGGCCAGGACCACGTTGATGCACTTCCCCAGGAGCACTCTGGCACTCACGGCGTCCGTCTGCAGGACCTGCTGCTCCTGCTGGTGGAGCTCCAGCTTAGAGATGCGCGTCTGGCAGGATTCCAAGGCTTCCTGTGGGCAAGAGGGAGAGCGAGGGTCAAACGCTGTTGAGATCACGGGCAACACGTGAGCGCGTGCTCGGACGTGCACGGAGGCCCCCAGCTCAGAACGCTTGATGCCCAGGCAGCTTCAAATAGCCGAAATGACAATGACGATGACAGTGATGACAGACAAAGAAGCAAAACCGGAATCGCAAGGCTCATTTTGTCCTGCTCTTCATGGACAGAATGAGTACGTGTAGCAACCATGAAATACTATAAATGAGGAATCATGGTTAAGCATTTTGACTCCATCCATATTTGAAATAAAGTGCATAAAATATTGGCATCTGTTGGTACCGTCAGGGACAAACCAGAGGAGGGGTGGGGTTCCATTTTGTGACAGCTGACTACCTCCAGCCATGGAGGAGGTGGTATCTCCAATGGCTAGTCCCTATCTCCACTGCTCAGGTCTATGGGCATCCTAGGATGGAGGGAGAAGGGAGGGGACAGGACTGACTGTGGGGCAACTCCGCTTTCGCTTGCTCTTTGAACGCTGCCTTCCTCAGGACGCTGTCCCTAGATCTCGTTCCTTCCAAGGCTTCAACTACTGAGACACAGAGGACTCCGAGTGTATCTCTAGCCCAGCCATCTCTTCTGAGACTGACTCACATGCCTCCTTGACATCTACATCTGAGCTTCTTAAAAGCACCTCCAAGGCAACATGTCCAAATGTGGATTCATGTATTGCACCTATCCCCCCACCTGCCATCAACCCTGTTTCCCTTCCAGTGTTCCTTTCTTAGCACCATTATCCACCTAGTCCCTCACACCAGAAGCCTGAGAGGCATTCCTTGGCACCCCTCTCATCTAATCCATCATCTAGCCCCATCGGTGCAACACCCAGTATCTATCTCAATTGATCCATTTCTCTCCCCTCCCAGTCACCACCCCAACTCAAAGCCCCCAGGACCTCTTGCCTGCAATAACCTTATACTAACTTCTCTACACCCTCTTGTTCCTCAACCCCAGTGAATCCATTTTCCACACAGCAGCCCAAGTGATCTTTGAAAGATGCTTATCTGATATCATCCCTTTTCATAAAACCTTTCAAATCTTTAACATGATCCTTTGAGGCCCTGCATGGCCCAGGCCTAGCCACTCTCTCCTCCTTCACTTAATGCCAGCCCCCTGCCCCGCTGACCGTGTTCTAGCCATACTGGCTTTTTAAAGTTCTGAAAGGGGCATGTTTGGGCCTTTGCACATGCTGTGTACTGTGCCTGAAATGCATGCCTTCCAGGTCCCTCCCCTCTTCAGCTGTGGATCTCCCATTCGCCTTTCAGGTCTCACCTCAACTGTCACGTGCTGAAGGAAGCCTTCCTGAACCCATCAGACCAGGTCAAGTCTCCCTCTAGCCCTCCTCCCCAATCAAGAGACCACAGCTGCCTGAGGATGGGGATGAGGCGCATCTTGCTGCTGCTGTCAGCCCTGGCTCGGAGCCAGCGCCAGGCACGCAGCAGGGGCTACACTCTGGCTGAATGCTCCAGAGACCGGGCGCCAGTAACGGGCTGTGAGGCTTGAGGGAGCAAACCCTACGCCTCTTGGGAGAAAAGAACCTAACTAGAGGCAGTTCAACGAGCCCCATTTTGTTCACTAGCCCGCTAACTCATTTACCAATATGTGTTTGCTCAACACAAATAAAGACAGTCATCTTTTCAGGTTTTAAACCAGCATAATGGCTCCAGCACTGATTTGCTTTTCTTCTGCTGAATATTCTCTATGGGCCAAAGAGCAAGGTCCTCTGTTACTATAGTAACTTTCATTACACAGGCTACCAACAAAAAAGGTAAAACTTCTTCAGACCTTTACATTCTAAACAGTGACACGTTTAGACAACAATAGGCACGTGCCCCAGAAATCATGCATTTTTTTTTCTCAACTACTTGGGCCCAAGGTTTCCTTCATTTTAGGCATGGTATGGAAAAGGTGACAGAACAAGACAAAAGATCAACATTTTAGGCATATTCATTAATCTCGGACTGGGTAAATGAATTACATACATAAGTAGACTGATCCTAGAATTGCCTTAGAATTTCTGTCAAACGTTTTACCAAAAGAAAACTCCAAGAAAACTAAGTAGTGAATTGCAAGGAAATTTCGAACCTTCGTGGGTCCAAGCTCCCACTAAGAGATATTCAGCCTCACAATCTTTAGTACTTCCTTGGGTCCAGTATTTAATTTATTGGAGATGAGAAAAGAGGCTAGGATTATCTTTAAACCCTTTTAATTGGGAATTCAGAGTTAAAAAAAAAAACAAAACTCAATTGCTTAATACCATACCACCCTTGCCTCCCTGTGGGCAACAGCTACTATCATCTGTACTGGCCTGTCCCCTTGTATAACAATATTAATGCAAATTATCCCCTAAATAAGAAAACCATATATTCAGATATGATCCAGTGGAATCCCATACATGTTCTAAAATAGAATGATCTAACAAAACTGACTGTATGGTTTACCTGGCAATATTTAATGTTTAAATGGGTTCACATTTTTCAAACCAGTCAGTGGTAAAGCTAAGTCTCCTAACCCAGAACAGAGACAGAAATCCCCCAAGTGTCCTCTGCTCCACGGTCCTCAGAGAAAAACATTTCCTACCAGCTCTGATGCTCTGGGTCCCAGAATTGTCCAAGTACATGACGGGTTAGCACAGGCTCAGCCCTTGCCACAGAGGGGAACAAAATGTGGGCAGCTGAGACTCCAGCTCACACGCTGCGGGAGAAATCTCTCTCTCCATCTCAGTTTTCTCCCTCGTAAAGGTGGGGCTGGAGAAAATGACCACTGCCTACAGAGAAAATTTGTAAAAATGAAGCTGAGCTCTACTTGAAGAGTACACTTTTTTGTTCTTTAAAAAAAGGTGATCAATGGAATGTAAATTGGTGCAGTCACTACGGAAAACAGTTTGGAGGCCCCTCAAAAAGTTAAAAATAGAACTATATGATCCAGCAATTCCACTTCTGGGTATTTACCCAAAGGAAAGGAAATCAGTATCTAGAAGAGATCTCCACACCCCCATCTTCATTGCAGCATTATTCACAACAGTCAAGACATGGAAACAATCTAAGTGTCCATTGATGGATGAATGGATACAGAGAACGTGGTATACGTATACAATGGAATATTATGCAGCTATGAGAAAGAAAGAAATCCTGACATTTATGACATAGGAGGCTTATGCTAAGTAAAATAAGTCAGAGAATGATAAATACTGTTTGATCTCACTTATACGTGGAATCTAAAAAAATCGAACTCATAGATACAGAGAACAGATTGGTGGTTGCAGAGGTCGGGGGTGAGGGGTGGGAGAAATGGGTGAAAGTAGTCAAAAGGTACAAACTTCCAGTTACAAGATAAGTAAGTCCTGGGGATGTAATGTACAGTTTGGTGACTATAGTTTATTAACAATACTGTATTATATATTTGAAAGTCGCTAAGAGAGTAGATTTTAAAAGTTCTCATCACAAGAAAAAAAAATTATAACTGTGTGAGGTGATGGATGTTAACTAGACTTATTGGAGTGATCATTTCACAATACATACAAAAATCAAATCATTATGGTGTACACCTTAAACTAATACAAAGTTGTATGTCAATTATATCTCAATAAAACTGGGGGGTGGGGTGGGGAGACTCTCTAATAGCAAAATAAATCAATTAAAAAGGCACTCGAGCAGCCCAGGGTAGTTTCACTGCAGCACTAACAGCTCGTAATACTGGAACATGCCCTTGTTTATACTGATCCAATCATCTCTTCCTTCCACCCATCCGGGTCCTACCCATCCCTTCAAGTCCCATCTTCTCCGACATTCATTCACATCCATGACTCAAGGACTATATGCAAGACCTTGTTCAAGACCCTTAACTTCTCTGTGCCTTGGTCTTCACATCTGAGAAATGGGGAGAATGGTAGGAACTGTCTTAAAGGGTTGTTGTGAGGAGTAAATGGGAAAAAAAAGAGACATGGAAAGTGTTTTGCTGGTGCCTGGCACGTGGTATGCACTCAAGTGCTTGAAATTCTTACAGATCTGAAAGCAATTATTTTACACATGAGCAAACAGACTCAAGGCTTGCTCAGGGCCACACGGCTGGTAAACGGCAGACCTGGGACTGAAACCCAATGTCTGACCACTAAATGACCAATGGCCCCACCAGTCCATAACTTGTTGGGCACTGCATGACTAAATTTCTGGGCTCTCAGGGTCCACGCTGTGTAATCTGACCCTTGTTCATGTTGTCTTGAGCTCTTTGGCAGTTGGGCTACTCCTGACTCCCCGTCTAGGCAGTAAGCTTCTCGAAGGCAAGGTTTGTCTCATGTTTTAAAATTTTTTAAAATTCTGGTGTTGCTGGGGAGAGTAGGGTATAGGTGATGGATAATAAATATTTGTTAACTAATTTAGGCAGAAAGTACACAGAGAGAATAGCTTCTTTACTCAGTGACATCTGTAACATGAGCTAATGGGGTTAACAAGGTAGAGAAGAAATGTTTGTACAGAGAAGACATTTTGCTCCATGTGCCAGAAATCCTTTAGGGCTTAGGGGTAATGCACTTAGTTTGGTCAATGGATTAAAGGCTGGGAAGAGCCGTGTGAGCATCTAACGTCAGAGGAAAGGTACCTGGATGTCCCTCGAGCGCTCGTAGGCTTGGTAGGCCACCTTCTCCTCGATGCTGGCTAGCTCCTGCTTCAGGTTGGCCGTCTCGTGCTGATGCAGGTCTGTCATGTCATGGAGCTGGTCTTCCAATCGCTCATACCTTTGCAAAGAGAGGAGCCGAGTCTGAGCATGACATTTCAAAGGTCTTCTAACAGCACATTCTAGAATGACATCCTTTATATCTCATCCCCGCCAGTGCCCCTTGGTTTGTTTTCATCCCCTGACAGACTGTGTTTCCAAAAGAACAAGGCCAGCTTTGAGGAACACGCTTTTGGGTAACACTGAATTCCGGCTCTAGCAAGGACTGGTCTCTGCAGTCTCAACTCTCTGTCCTCACCACTGAGGTTTCCTGCAAACCAAATCTAGCCTTTCCACCCACATAAGATGAGCACCTTGGTTGGCTGCGGTGATGACGGGACAGACCTCGTCAGCTGGCGCATTCACCAGGGCCCATCAGAAGACAGGGCTGTCTGGATCCTGCTCAAGACAAGGACCCGCTGGCATCCTGGTGCTTCTCCCTCTTCTGCCCCCACAACGCCTAGTGGTTCGCGGCCACAGCTCTCAGGTGCCAGAGAGCCCATAAGGAAAGAACCAACTTCTACACTGGCACCAATTACACTATTTCCCAGTGCACACACAGATTCTGAACACGTTTTTCAGCTCTTGGAACTTAAATGCCAATAAAAAATGAAGCTTGTTACAAACCATAGATGGCTTATCAGGTGGCATTTCCAAAAGCCCAAATATAAAGTAGCAGAATCACAGATTCCCATTCCTATCCCTCACCCATCTCAGAGAAGATGGAGTTGTCTCGTATTTGAAAGCTTATATTCCTTATTTTGAAACAGGAAGCACTATTTGGGGAAGATGCATTAGCCTAGAATGACTTCTATCAGTGCCATTTTCAGATGCTTATATAGGTCACCTGATAGACTCATTTAAAAAAAATGAGACCAAAAAAGCTTAATACAGATTTAACGAAGTCAGGGAGGACTTCATAGGTGTCCAATGTTGGTGTTGCAAACAAGCCTTTTAAAGATCTCTTAAAGTAAGCAACAGAGTGAGAGGCTAAATTATGGAGATGACAAACACAACTATATGACAAATGAGAAAAACTGTCCTAAATTTATGTAAATGGATATTTGTGACTTGGAATGAAATTTGGATCCAAAGAGTACTGTACCCCAAACCATTCGGATGGAATTAAAGTCAATACTCTCTGGAAAAGCTGTGACTCAAAAATAGTTCTGATGTGACAAAGAAATCAAAGTCAAAGATGTATGTGGGAAGTTTAAAAAATTTGTTTCACAAAATATTAGAGCTGAAAAAAGCCACATTTCTAAATTAACACATATATAAAACCATATATCAGATATAAAACAACATGTAAGCTAAATTTAAAATTTAAATTCTATACTATGTAATAGGCATGCACTTTTTCATCTACATATCTAGAAGTTAACATATTCATTTTGATCAGAAAACTTTTGGGGGATCTTTTAATTGGTAAAATGGTGGAAAATCCCCTCATTTGGGGGCATATACACTTTTCATTAATAAGCTATAAGCACATAAAAGCCAGCCTACACAACACCTTTTAAAATTAGCTAATATAGGGCCGGCCCCGTGGCTTAGCGGTTAAGTGTGTGCGCTCCGCTGCTGGCGGCCCGGGTTCGGATCCCGGGTGCGCACCGACGCACCGCTTCTCCGGCCATGCTGAGGCCGCGTCCCACATACAGCAACTAGAAGGATGTGTAGCTATGACATACAACTATCTACTGGGGCTTTGGGGGAAAAAATAAATAAATAAAATTAAAAAATAAATAAATAAAATAAAATAAAATTAGCTAATATAATCTACAAGATTTGAATTTATACTTTAATCTTAAGATTTCTTTTGAAAGCTCTTCATTTAGGGTGAAAAGTTTGATAAGCAAAATACAGTACATAAAAAACATACACTATATAAAGACTGATGTACCAAATAAAACCTACCTTGGACAATGAATTAGTTTTTTACTTGACAGTTATTATAGAGGGAAATCAAATAGAGATCTATGAATTACTGCAACAGGACTTTATAACAGAAGTCTACCAAGTCAGGAGCTTAATACGCACGAGTCATAGACTATACAGTGATATTTTAATGGTACCACATGTATAATGTCTTTCTCTAAACTATGTCACAAATTATAAAACTTAGAATCATGAAGTTTGGAAAGATCTATTGATTCCTAAATGCCTTTTGATCCATATCCATGTTTATGCAAAACACAACCATTAGCATATCATTTTCAAGCAGACAATCGCTCTGCAATTAGTAACTGATGCTTCTAAAAGAAGTATGAAATACCTGTATCTCTCCTCTTGCAGGGTCTGAGAAATAAAACCGTATTCTCTCTTAAACTGCACCTTCAGCGCCTCGATGTCCTCGGCCAGCTGTGCCTGCGTGTCCTTGATCTCCCGCAGTTCCTCCAGGATCATGGCGAGCTTCCCCTGGCTGTCCAGCGTGCCAGCTCCGCCAGCGCCGAACGACTGGTTCCCATTACTGTCGCCAGAGCCCGACGTGCCACTCGAACACTCATCGTCACTGCCATACCTGGGTTTGTTCACAATGGTCGCGCTGCCCCCGTAGACCCGGGCACTCGCCTCGGGCCTAAACTCCTCTAACGAATTTTTTAAGTGAGCAATGTTGTCGGCGCTACCAAACTTATTCCGGATCAAGTTGGCAAACTCTCTGGACTTACTGAAGACAAACACAGGCGGAGTGAAGGACACCCCTGGCATGCCCGATTTACTGCTCTCCATGATGTGGGGAGCAGTTCGAGACTTGGCCTGGGCATCTTTCAAAGAATGCTGGATGTCCTTCAGGTTGTCTTTGGAAATGTCCTTTGAGCTTTTGGAGGCTCCAATCTGTTCGATCTCCCTGAGCTTTCTACGATACTGTTCTAACTTCTTCTGCAGCTGGGCAATGGAGTGAGCCGATTTCTGATTCTTCTTCTCAAAGACCTGTTTGATACGGCCAGCCTGCTGCTTATCTGCGCTGCCGACCAGCTTCAGATACTCTGCCACGTTCCCATCGCGGGACGTCTGCTCGATTTTTATCTGCTCTGTTACCTTTAGGATTTTTTGTTTCAGGCTGTCTGCACTGAGTTTGACCTTGTGGAAGTCCAGGATGCCATCTGGGACGTCAAAGTTGAGGTTGGTGTCTGACCCCCCTCGGCGTATGTTGAGGGGCAAGCTTAGGGTATTCATGTCATGACGGTCTACCTGAGAGAGACAGGGAAGGAGCACTTTCAGATTTGAAGTCAGAGAGACAACTGCTGTGACAGAATCTGTGCACACACAGACATACTTTAAGCGCCAGATTTTCAAACTCCAAGTGTTCACAAGATAAAAACTCCCTAGTATCCTCTCAAGCTGAATACAGGATAGTTCAACTCTTTCCTGCATCCCTGTATACTAACCAACTGTGAGATTCAGATCTCCCAGGGTATCCAATTTTCTATCTTACTAGACGATAACTTTCAGTTGCCAGTCAGTTCTGGCTTCCCAAAGTGTCCAGGTATAACTGGGATGCCTGCCATGCCCCATTCACTGTGAACTTCTCGCTTATAGGAAATGCATCCAACTCAGAACTCAATCATTTAACAGAGGGATAATGAAAAAAGAAAAAAAAAATGTAAAGTTCCAGCAGGTACATTTATCAACACAAGAAATTATTCTCTTAACTGAATCATTAAACAGACGTGACAGAATAATATGGTGCAAGATTAATTTTAATAACTGAGTGATACAACAACAGTATTTTGATGTGGAAACAACCCCAAACCACAACCACAGTGATTAAAAAACACAACAGTGATAATTCTAAGACCATGTAAAATAGCTTTCTTACTCAAGGGCCAACTGGAGAAAAGGATGCAAAGTATCATTAAGTATCCCGGCAAAGCGGGGTGGGGGGACTAGTTTGTGCTCTAAAAGGGAAATGCAGATGTAGTCTGTGTGCCAAGCACTGTGCATGTCTACATGGGTTGTCTGGGTAGATGCCCACTACCATCCGGGGCAAAGAATATGTCAAATCCATATAACAGCTAGAAAGGGAGACTTAAAGAGCCAGGATTTGAATCCAAGTCACCTTAACTCTGGTCCTCTTGCCACATCAGGACTCTCTACTACTAGTGTCCCCAGAGGACTAAAAACGGGTCTTTGTAGATTCTGAACACAATCTCTAAACAAAGATTCCTAAGCTCTAAACTGAAGCATCTTATTTGTCAAGCTCTAAACTGAAGCATCTTATTTGTCAAGTTAACAACACTTTGATTAGAGCAATGCTTTGATACAGTCTCAGTAGAAATCGAATGGGAGACAAGACAATACTCAGCACAAGTTACTCTTTTTTTAGGAGATAGTAGGTTGACCTAGCAAAAAATTAGTAAAATGATAACTTAACAGACCTCATACTGCCCAAGTGAGCCAGACTCGAATGTGGATCGTTTCCAACAAGGAGGATTGACAACACTTTGACACATGAAAAATCCTACTCAGTGCTTTTCTGCAGAGAAGGGAGCCCAATGGCCAGTGGGACACAATCCCAGCGTGGTGCGTCAGGTGTCCTTCACAACTCATAAAAGTTTGTTAACATTATCTTTGGCTCCAGTCTTCCCACACACAATTCTGCCACGAATAAGAGACACTGCTTGTTTTATCTGGCAGAGAAGCACGACACAGAAAAGGCTGGAAGGAAATAAATGCCAAATCACTACAAGACTAGAAAATACGATGTGTGAAAACAGGAGAGAGGAACTGTGACTTCACCTGGTCAAGAGGGAAGGACAGGTGTGGGGACTAAAGAAGGTACGTAATCATCTTCAAGTCCTAGAGAGACGACCACAGGAGGCTCAAGGAAGCTATGGACCTCTGGCTCACTAGTGGACCCAAACAGAAATGGGCTCAAATGACAGTGACAAAGAATGCACTAAACCCAGGAAATGTTTATTTTGGGCAGAGAGGGTAATTAATAGTAACTGTACAATCACAAGGCTGGAAATCTGATTTCACTGGATATATCCCATCTGATTATGCTACTCTACTTCTCAGAAACTTTCTTTGGCTCCCTAATGCCTCCCAAATTCAATAATACAACCTGGCCATTGTAAGGCCTTAACTTACCTCTCAGGCCTCACCTTGCACCTAATGGATGCCATTCATCTTAAGTGAACCATACAACCCAAAGTTCCCAGAATGTATGTGAATTTCCTATGGATTTCCTCGTACGTATGATATTCGCAATGCCTGCCACCCATCCACTTCTGCTTATCAAAATCCTGCATATTCTTTACAATCCATTTCAAACGCCACTTTTCCCATGAAGCTTCTCCTAGTCCTGATGGAAAGCTGCCTCTCCTTTCTGTCATCCTCTGTGCTTCTGTGGCACCACGTTACTCCTCCTTTATCACTCATCTGTGGACTTTAACCGCCAGAGTGCAGGCTCCTTCAGAGGTGAGATGGGGCCACACCTGTACCTAGCCTGCAGTGCTAGCATTGTCCCTTACTCACAGGAGGCCATCAATACATGTCTGCTGAACTAAAGTGACATCATTCTTTATTCCAGGAGAGTCTACACTAAAGTCATCTAGGATACATTTTAATAGACTCAAAAATGACCTTGGAAGTTCTGCCCATACAGACCTGATAATTCCAGGTAGAGAGGTTTTCCCAACACCTAGGTAATAAATTCAACAGCATTTCAAACTGATTCAACTAAACAGAGACTTTCTGAGGATAAATGTGCAACAAGATATACAAATACAGAGAAGGACCTTTAAACTTTAATTGAAATAAAATTTACACACAGAAAAGAGCACATTTAATAAGGATAAAACTCAGTGAATTTTCACAAGCTGAACACACTGTGCAATCAGGACCCAGCTAAAAACACAGAATAGATGCTCCACTCACTCCCCCTCAATCATGACGACGTCACCCCACCTCCAGGTATACCCACAAACCTGACTTCTAACAGGATACATTCACTTTGACTAATATATCATGTACTCTTGTCTTTTTTCGCTCCATGTTGTTGGTGAGATTCTTAAGAACTTGTTCTTGCCCTCCGGAAACTCAGATAAAATCAGATTAAATTATTAAAAAAACAAATACCTGTTTGGTATTCTCTATTGAGACGTCCACACAACACCTGAAGATACAGAGGTTTTTAGACCTTACCTCACCAAACACAGCAGCAACTCACCACCTGTTCTTCCTTCATTCTCGTCCCCACCGCAGCTGGCCACCCAACTCCGGTGTCTCAACGCAATGGCCTCGTTCCCTGACGGACTGCTGCGCCAGGACGGCCTCTTATACTCAGGAATGTTTAAGCACAGGTGGCTGGCTGACTTCTGGCTCACTTTAAAATTATAACAATGCTCGGTATGTCCTTGAGAGACCAGGATGGCGCAAGCAACAGCACTTAAAGCTCAAATCAATCACTCTTACTGCTTGTCAGCAAATCTTGGTTAAATGTCTGATGAGGGTGAAAAGTCAGAACTGCTGCCGGGCCACACCTTTCAGCCTTTTATGGCCCTAGCTCTGCAGGATAATTCAGAGCCAGCTAACACATCATCACTAGATGCCCCTACAGTCCCTGAACACAGACTGAAGTTTCATGCACACGCTGGGCAGAGAGCCATGCGAGTCCCCCGTCCCCCATTCAATCTGAGGTCAACTACACAGCACAGCTGTTTCAGGGCTGGGACGCGGGGAGGAGGACACAGGTTCACAGATGTCCAGAGCCAGTGTGTCTGTGGACTGCAATCAGGAGACGTGTGTTCCAGTTTTGGCACTGACAATCACTAGCTATGTGTTCTCAGGTAAATCAAATCACATCTGTGGTCTTAGATTTCCTCATCTATAGAATAAGGAGATAGAACCAGACAACTCAGAGCTAACACTGCAAAATTCCATGAAATGCAATCCAAGCCATCTTTACTGTGAGAGAGTGTCATGGAATAGTCAAGACTCTGGGCTCTGGAGCTGGACTGCTTTGGTTCCCATTTTGGCGCCACTCTTAGGAGCTGTGTGACTTTGGAAAAATGACTTAGCCTCTCTGTGCCTCAGTTTCCCCTTCTGTAAAATGGAGATAATGATTCTTCAAGGAGTCCCGAGGAATAAATGAAATAATGTGTATAAAGTAGTTAAAGACTTCCTGGCACAGAGAATGGTTTCAATAAAGGTTTGCTATTGTGATCTTCTCAATTTCATTAAAAAATATATCCTGTATATAAAAACTGAAAGGAAAACAAGCTGTCAAGTGTTAACAATGGTTATCTTTGCACTCTGGGGTTATGAGGAGTCATTCTTTTTATTAGGCTTTCATATTTTCCAATTTTTAAAAGATAAAGAACCTGAATTACCACTTTGGCAGAAAAAAATGTTGTTTCTAAGAATGACTACTAGCCTCTTTCAGCTCTCTCGGAATTATTTAGCTATTATTCCTTTACATGAAAGACAGACCACCAGCATCCTAGTGAAAAGCCATTCCCAATAATGTTTTCCTTCTGGCAGCAGAAACATTTCCACTGTCACCTCAATGTTCTGGAACAAAGGCTAAGGAAAAGCTTAAGCCCTGGACAGACGTGAAAACCTGACACTGAGTCATCCCCACAACAATCCGAGCTTCCATTCCAGCACAACGCCCCAAGTGAGCTCACCTTACTCCCCGGGACGCCAGGCGCAGCCCCACCATCACGGCGCTGCTCAGACACACTGTTCAGGCTTCAATAGAGGGCTGACCCCAAGGACCTTTTATATTGACCCCTAAAGCTCCGGAGTGAAATGAATAAGAAGGGAAGGACAGTTGGTGCAGAGGCACACCACCCAAACCCCCACCCAGGAGAACTGGAAAGGGGGAAGGGGAGGGGGGGTCCTGTGGACACCTGGAGGGTGTGGATTGAGGGAGGAGTCCCCTGAGGCTCTGGAGGTCACAGAGTGGCCAGAAGGTGCAGGGGCATAGAGAGACCAGAACGCCGGGATAGACGACAACGGCCAGCTTAGTCCCAAGGCTGGATACAACGAACCTTTGTTTAAAGTACAGCCACTTGAGCTCAGTCTATATATAAGGAAAGGGTCAGGTCCTTCAAACGGCTGTCATGGTTTTATAGACAGGTCTACAAAGGAGCTGCATGTTCACCCAACTGAACTGCGCTCACACGTCTTTGTGGCCCAAGTCAATGTAGCTGACATTCTGTACTCTTATGTATTTTAGCTAA